GTGTGTGTGTGTGTGTGTGTGTGTGTGTGTGTGTGTGTGTGTGTGTGTGTGTGTGTGTGTGTGTGTGTGAGGGCGAGATGAGTATGTCTGCACTGGCATGGTTACTGTTTGATGAAACAGCAGCAAAATGTTGAATTTAGAGTAGAAAAACAAATTTAAGTTTCAATCCTGTCACACTATCGACCTGTCCACTCATATTGGCTTTTTTTAATATCTCAGATGTGGTGGCTGCTGTTGTGCTTCATAATTTATGAGCAAAGTCATGTTAAATGCTAGATAATATTATCTCAAGTTATAGTTATGAAGATATCTGGAGCTCCGAGTTGGAATGTCAACAGGAATTTCCCCCTTAAGTCAGATTTGCTACACGGAAAGTCCAAGAAGTCAAAGGATGTCAAATATGGAGCTGTCTGGCAGGAAAAAAGAGAAAGACTACAGAGAAGATCCACGGATGTAGCGAAGGAGGAAGTGGAGAGGATTGGGGTGACAGGTGAGGATGGCAGCTCCTGCATTGCAATGCAGAGCATTAAAAGTGTTGCTGTCTGAGGCGGGTGAGTTCACTTAATGTTAGTTTGTTTCACGCCTTTTTTTTTCGTGACTCTAGCGAAATATCTAGGTCTCGATAACAAACATAATTTATACTAGTGTAAATAAAATAAAATAAAAAACTATAGTTTTAGGTTGCTGGGCTTTTGGTGAGTTGGGATTAAACATTTGATTATACTAGTCAAATGTATTAATTAAAGTAAGCTGTCAGTATTTGTGTCTAGCTGCTCGCTGTACTGTCTTTAAGTGTAAAATTCATAAACTATATTCAAGTCAGTTCAATTTTATTTATCCGGCACCAAATCAGAACAACAACTATATTATATGAGTATTGGTTTACACACATACACATTTGTATTAACTGCTAAAAAAATAAAAAATAAAGGAACACTTTAAAAACAAATCAGATCTCAATGGGCAAAATGCATTAATATGGATATATATATATATGGATATATATATATATATATATATATATATATACTATATATATATATATATATATATATATATATATATATATATATATTTATATATATATATATATATATATATATATATATATATATTATATATTAATATATATAATTATATATATATAATACAAGTTATCTGGACTACAAATCAACATTTCAGCTGGAATTTCCCTCAAGTCAGAATTTCCACTTGGAAAGTCAGAGAAGTTAAAGGATTCTGAATGTGGAGCTGAGAGGCAGGAGGAAAAGAGGAAGACTGCAGAGAAGATGCATGGAAGGTCTAGAAGGAGCAACAAATGGAGACCGCTAAAAGGAGCTGCAGAAGGAAGAAGGTGGGAGAAGTCCTATTCTCTCAACTTCAGAACCCAAGATGGACAACAGTGCATGCAAACAATATTAAAATGGCAATACTCTCTGTAGTACCACTGCTGCTGAATATCGGCTTCAATGGTTATATTTTAAGCGCACAACTAGTGATGGATGGATGGAGGGCTCCACCTTACCATGGAGCAAAAAACCTGTTTTCCTAGCTTTGACTGTAACACTGACGACACGCCCAGCGCCAGCATCCGACTTTCAAGGTAAACGCAAAGAAGCATGATAAGAAATGAGCTCCTGGGCTGACAGCATTCCTCCAGTTGCTGCAGCGCAATGCAGACCATTAAGTGTGTCGTCGTCGGAGACGGGTGAGTTCACTTACTCAATATTACTTTATTTTATTTTTTACACCTAGTTTTTACCTGTAAAATGTGATGGCTGTGGCTCAGAGCAGGTAGAGCAGGTCACCGACTGATTGGGAGGTTGCTGGGTTAACCCCGGGTGCTCCAGTTTGTGTGCAAATACCCTTAGGCCAGATACAAAATCCAAGTTGCTCTCCGATGTGTCCACCTGAGTGTAAATGTTACACTGAAAGCACAGAAAAAGGTGTTTGTATGAATGAGTGAACAAGGCTTTGAGTGCTCAGAGGCAGTGAAGAGTCAGTCCATTTTCATTACATTAGCTAGATATTTAGGATTGTCATGCTACTACTAAAGTTTTCTGTTGTAGTGCAAGAAAGACAAAAAAAACCCATCACTACTTTTTGGCTGCCATGCTTCTGGTGACAAGTTTTTATTTATATTCTTCATATCTGGCTTTCAAGGCAATTCAGAAAAGAAAGATTTTTCTTATCCTGAGACAGGTGGGAAACTGGAAAAGGGGAGAACAAATAAAGGCAAAAAACCACACTGTCTACAACAGATGAAAAATATCTGAAAGTCATGGCCTTAAGACAGAAAAAACAAATCCAGCAAGGAGATGGGTCTGGCCCTTCAGCTGATCAGTTACTGTTTGCCAAAGCTGCATCAGACATAATCTTTTTCGCATGGTGGCTGTCAGTAATTTACACAAGAACTGGACTGTAAATCAGTCGCAACAGGTTCAGGTCATCAAATATTGGCTTTTGGGCTTGTACATTTGTGCATGTTTCAGTAAACTGTTGCTACATCCCATATTCATTTCAAACTATAAAGAAATGATTACTCAGGACTTTTGCACATTACTGTAACTGTTTTATGTTGTTATATTAACACTGTTTATTAAAATAACTGTATAACACGACTGATAACATCTGCTCCCACATTACTGTGTTATGATTAGCTATAGCTGCTACTTTAATGCTAACATTTACTGATAGTTAAACAGCTAGCATTCACATGTGTACCAGATACTTCTGATAACTGTTGTGTTGTGATAAGTGTTGTTCAGTAATGTGGATGTCAGCTATTGTTCATATGTTCAGCTGCCAGTGAGGGGAGGGGCTGTGTGCCTGCCTAAATAGTTTTGGTAACCTGAGTCCAGTGTAACAAAGTTGATTGTCCATCAGTTCGGACACAGCATTGTTGTTGTTTTTTTGCCTTCTCTCAGTAAATGCTAATCCAGCTTCTTCTCACCTACAGAGAAGTAGGTAAGACCTGTCTGCTCATCAACTACACCACCAATGCCTTTCCTGGAGAGTACATCCCCACAGTGTGAGTATCTCACTTTGCAGTGCAGTGAGTATTTATTTATTTATTAAAGCAAGATTAGCAAACAGTGATCGGTCTCCACCCTCCTTTGGCTTGCAGAAGAGCTTACAATCACAGCAGTGGACTGTAACTAGACCAGAAATACATGTTACAGGATGTTATGAGGAAACCCTTCAGCCTATCTCATTCTGATCTTAGCTGTTACTGTAACTGTGGCATGAAGTCATTGATAAACAAGCTTCCGAGTGAGTGAAATTTAAGAGAGCAGTTGCCATAAAAGTCAACAATAAGGCAGATAAGATATCAACTTCCACTTCAGTTGTTTTTTCAGTAGTTATATTTTGACAGTCTATATAAAGCCAGAAGGGTTTGGTTTATTTGCGCTTCATCACTTCTGTCAGGTTCGACAACTACTCCGCCAATGTTTTGTTCGATGGGAAGCCGGTGAGCCTGAACCTTTGGGATACAGCAGGACAAGAAGACTATGACAGACTCCGCCCCCTTTCCTACCCAGAGACGGTAAAACAACCACAAAAAGAAAGATCACACAATGTTGTGCTATACTTCACTTACATTACTGTGCAAAAGATTTGAGTCACTCCTTAGTTCTTTATATTTCACTTCCAACGAAGTAAGATGTTCCTATGATTTTTTTAAAAGTGGTCTTCAGCAGTAGTTCTCCATGCTTTCTGAAGGTCTTTAAGTTTTCCGTTGGACATTGGCAGCTTTTTCACTGATTTTCAAAATATAAAGAATTGAGGCTCTGACTGTTTTGCTTTCTTTGTCTTACCAGGACATTTTTCTCATCTGCTTTTCCCTCGTGTCTCTTGCGTCATTTGAAAATGTCCGTAATAAGGTGAGTAGTCGCTATATTATGGAAAGGTGGCTGCACAATGTCAGGTACTGACAGTGTCAGTACTGTCATATCAATATCATGACATTTACTTATATTGTGCCTGTGCTGCAAAGCAAGCACAAGCTGCTGTGGATCAAGACCTAACCATAAATTCAAAGGAAAAATGTAATTATATTTCCCAAAGGATTCTATCATGATGGAAAGTAGACCCCCAACTACAAATTAATTTTATTAGTGAATAATGTGTGAGTTAATTTCTAGTAAGTAGTGAGTTTTCATAAAACCAGAAAACGACAAGAAAGTGGAAAAGGGCGAGAAAATCTTTCGCATTTTTTTACTTTTAAAATGTGCCATCAAATTTAGGCTAGGCATATTTTCTCTTAATAAACAAAGTTGTTTTTTTTACTAAGTGTGAGTACTCTGAAGTGTGCCAACTAAGCAACCCACTGCAAGCAGGAGTAGCAGACTGGATCTCCAAGGTGGAAATCACTGCTGAGAACACAAATGGTCGTCTTATATTTGCCAAAAAGCATCTGGATGATCCCCAAGACACACAGCATTTCATAAGAACACCATCATACCAACAGTCAAACATGGTGGTGCTAGTATGAGGGTCTGGGCTGCTTTGCTGCTTCAGGACTTGGACAACTTGTTGCAATTGATGGAACCATGAATTCCGCTTTCTACCAGAAAATCCTGAAGAATTTTTGGCCATCAGTTCATGCCCTGAGACTCAAGAGGTCTTGGATTATACAGAAGGGTGATGATCCAAAAAACACCAGCATGTCCACCTCTGTATGGCTCAAAGAAACAAAATGAAGATTTTGGAGTGACCTAGTCAAACTCCGGGTTTCAACCTGACTGAGATGCTTAGGTAACCTTAAACAGGGCTTTCATGCTTGCAATTCGAAAACAATTCGGCAGAGAAGAGTGGGTCAAAATTCCTCCACAGTGATGTGAAGTACTCATTGGCAGTTATTACAAATGCTTGATTGCAGTTCTTGCTGCCAAGGATGGCACTACCAGTTATTAGGTTTAGGGGCAATTGCTTTATCACAGATGTGTACCAATGCCGACCTATTGCTCTGGCTTTGGATTTCAAAGGTGTCTTACTCCCGTCTTCCCCCTTTAAAAGAAACTTCTTTTGTTTTTTATTTTTTAAATAATGTATCAACTGTATGGCATTGTATGTTTGTAGCCAGGTAATAAGCATTATTTTGTAACATTTAGAGTTAAAGCCTTCAAATAACCAGTCGAACTCACATCCACACCTACAGCCAAATTAGATTCACCACTTAATCCAACATAAATGTCTTTGAGTTGTAGGAGGAAACCCTCAAAAGCACAGGGAGAACATACAATCAATCAATCAATCAATCTTTATTTATAAAGCACTTTTCATACAGAAAAAATGTAGCACAAAGTGCTTTACATAGTTAAAAGCAGCCCACCCCACCCTCCAACTCACTCCCCACACTCTCAATACACATACCGGCATATCCCCCCACCCCCACCCACACACACACATACACATACGCGCACACTTAAAGAGTAAAAGCTCCATTTAGGAATGCTCCACATGATTCATTCACCAAAAATCAAAAGAATGACAATGCAAATAGGAAGTAGCTGCAGCTTCAATAAAATAAAGTGTTCAAGGTGGTGCAGGCCGAGCTGGGAAGTTAAACTCATAAACATTGTCTCTTTGTAGTGGATTCATGAGGTGAGACACCATTGTCAGAACACTCCCATAATCCTCGTGGGGACCAAAATGGATCTGAGAGATGACAAAGATGCTTTAGAGAAGCACAAGAAGGAGAAGAAGACTAATGTCTATCCCATTAACTACCCTGATGGACTGGCCCTGTCCAAAGAGATTGGTAATGGCTTCAGTTATGTCTAATACTTTTTCTTTTAAATCATCACGGAAGACGGCAGATTCCAGTAATAAGCCTGGAATCTGTCTCTCTGTTTCCTGTCTTCAGGTTCTGTCAAGTACCTGGAGTGCTCAGCTTTGACTCAACGTGGCGTTAAAACTCTGTTTGATGAGGCCATCAGGATTGCCGTGTCCCCTCCACCTATCACCAAGAAGACAAAGAAGTGCCTTCTCCTCTAAGACTTCACTGAAACAGTGCATTTCAGATTCTGTCCTTCAATGTGTGCATCAGTTATACAGTTGTAAGGTCAATTTTAGGAGACATTGCTTCCTAAAAGTGTATACTGATTTTTGGTAGTAGAAATGTTTTCAAATAGACTGTACACATGCTGTATTTTAGCTGAAAAGAAATTCTTTGATCTGTTGTCTCTTTAAAACACAGCTGACAGTCTGCTGCTGTTTCCTGCTCAACCACATCAAGCATTTATAAGTTAAAAACGCCACTTTCTCTCTATGGAAGCAGGCGTGTCAACAAAGAGCTTGAACTTGAACTAACCACCTGTGAAGTTTGGAGTAACGTCTTTACTGGTAATTAATTTTTTGCCTTAATGGTTCATGTTAATTCACTCCCATGAAGTAAATGAAGTCTGAAGCAGAGAGAAATGAATGTTGTATACGCTTAGCTTTATGAAGAAAAGCTATTTTGTTTGCTTTTTTGTTTTGTTTTTTAAAGCCAAGAAATTCCCCTAAAACAGGTTCTGTTTGTTTTCCTTTGAGCCAAAATGGCAAAAATGGCTGAAGTGTTGCTGACTCACTTATTCTTGTGAATCTTTCACTTATACCATACTGGAAAAATAAAGATTCACCATTATTCAAACACATTTTAATGTAAATAAAAATGTAAATTTTTCTCCCGATCACTGATATAATTAGTTAGAGCAATAAAAGAAGATTAGATGTACGTTTTGGGCAACATATTAAACCACAAGAATAACACTTAAAAATATATTTTGCATTATGCTTTTAGAAAAAATCAATTAATGACACTGTCCCAGAAATATCTTCATTAATATACACTCAACTGCTCATCAACACAAAATCTATCCAGACAGTCCTTACAGACAAATAAGCTCAAGACGACTTCCCTGAAGCTCAACCGGAGAATCAGAATAAGCAAGAAAACTGATTTACGTTACTTATTTGAACCAGATTAGTCTGCTTAAACTTCTTCCCTTGCAACCTGAAACCAGATAAGCAGTACATATCAAATGGATGGATGGATCCTGATGCTGCTGGTGGTGTGGGGGCAATTTTCTTCACACACCCGAGTACCAACACCACAGTCTACCTGAGTATTGTTGCTGACCAAGTCCACTTCTTTATGACCACAGCATACCCATCTTCCGATGACTGCTTCCAGCAGGATAACACACCTCGTCACATAGCTCAAATCATCTCAAAGTAGTTTCTCAAACATGTCAGTGAGTTCACTGCACTTCAGTGCCCTCCACAGATCTCAGTCGAGTAGAGCACTTTTGGAATGTGGTAGAATGAGAGTCTCATCGTGGAGGTGCAGCCAACAGATCTGCAGCAACTGTGTGACAGTATCATATCAATATGGCTGAAATTCTCTGAGGAATGTTTGCAGCGCCTTGGTGAATCTGTGCAATGAAGAATTAAAGCAGTTCTACTCTGTAGATGGGCCAGTGATCATCAGTTTTTGACCATCAGAGATATAAAGAAATTTTGTAAACCTTTTGACTGACCCTAATGTTTTTTTGAGGGTTAATGTTTGAGTTAGATTCGGGTTAAGGTAAGGGCTCGTCACCAATTTGTAACTGTTACAGTTGAGAATGAAAGTGGAGCACTAAATGTATTGAGCCCCACTCTTAAAAGAAACTCAAAGTCTTGACACTTTCTGTAAAATTATATTTAAGTTTTGTTTTTTAGAGCATGTTTTATGCCAACTTGTCCAATATAGAATATGCTTGGTTGGTGCTAACAGACATTGTTTTATCTAACTAGTCACAGAACTTTTGGGGAAAGCCTCTTTGGTGAATTTGTGGCTCACTGGAGTCAGACACTGTCCCCTTTGTGTTTGATATTTTCTTGTGGGGATGGGTTGACAGACATAGTGGTGCAATCAGCTGGTAGAGCAGAGCTCCACAAAATATGATCACAACTATTTTGTGCAATTTTACAGTGTAATTTAACCCCCAGTTATCACTGTTCAGTTATTCTTTTAACAAACACTTCCAAACTGTTTACAAAAGGTTACAAGGAAGTTTCCAAATAAAGTGGACTCAATGTAACTATAATATCTATGACATCAATGTAGTCAAAAGATCAAATCTGCACACACGCACACAGAGTGGAGCAGTCACGTTGGGGAAAACCTAGAAGGAAAAAAACAACTTTTAGCTTAAAAATAGAACTTCTAATCTCAAGCTCAGTCCTGCACTTGTATTCCATACATACACTGTGAGGTTTTGGACGAGATGAGTGAAAAACAATTCCTGGGAATTATTAGTGGGACATGAAAAATCCTGTCTGAAGCTCTTAGGAAAAGGGGCCTGTTCAAAACAATTGATAATGAGCTTGACCCTTCTAAGGGTTTAAATACAGTTCAGTACGGGCAAAGGATGAATGCTGCACACAAGTGATGCTGACTGAGCACAAAAACAGAAGAGACAACATGAGAGAAGCAGCGAACAAAAAATGATGTAATCCGTTTTACTTAAAGGTGACACAGTTTCAAGCTTTGACAGGCGGGACATTATTTGGTTTTGGAAAACTGACCTTCAAGTTTCAAACAGGATGTTGGGAAATTTTATTTATTTGTAACAAAGCATTTTGTTTCCTGAAAACACTCAGCACAGAGGCAATGGTTGCCATTAGGTTGTGAACTCCATGTAGACAAGGAATCTCATATGTGATGCCAAGAAATTTAAATAAATCTTATTACAAGATAAACCTAAACTTGACAACGTCTCGTCATCACAGGTCATTAGTAGCACATTTGGCACAGAATCTGCACTTGAATACTTAAATTAGTCCATTCAGTCTTTTTATAAACACTTTTCATTCCGTTCATAAATTTCTCATCGTCCGTCAGCACCTGACGTCAGCCTCACGAATCCACAGATCGCAACAGGGTCCCTGAAGTTGTCGGTATGCTGGAAAGAAAGAAAGCATTCATTAAAATCAGTGGGATCAGACGAAAACATGACTCGAGTTAGGCGGAAAACAAGTCAGATTGTTTTGGACGTTAAAGAAAAGGAACCACACTTCAAGACAGGCGTAATTTTAAAGATCAAGAGATGTTAAAACTGTTTGACAGTAACATGCACACATTAGTGACCATAAAGACTAATAATCCTGTAAATAGACCAAATGGGAAAAAGGAAACCTTTGGGAAAGTAAGGCAGAACACCATCATACATTTTGGATCTGTTACCACCAAACACCAAATCTTTCTAGAAAAGTGAAATTGGAAATGTCAGATGATGCCATTTGTTGGTACATCACAAAGAACTTCATCTGATTAGAGTAGTTTCGTGATAATAAAACTACACATTAAATGTAATATGAGGTGATCCATTTATAAGAGGTTAACACATGAAAGTGTTATAAACTTAAACTCCTGTCTTTGAATTGCTTTTTCTACAGCCCTTTAAATTTGGCCTGTATAAGCTATACTAGCAAATTTTTAAGCTAATTATCGCTCAACTGAATGTGAGATTATTTTGAAATTCCACATTGCTGAAGTCATAGTACCAGATACTTGACCTAAAAAAGTTTTGAAAGACACAGGTCTAGTCTCCCTGGACTTTTTTCAGAGAAATCAAAGATGGTCTGATTGGGAATTTTTCTTAAATTTAGTCCAGTTACTGAAATACGATTGAGAGCAGCTGTATTTAATGCCTTAACAGGTGGTTAAACTGACCTACTAAGATAAAGGTAAGGAAAGGAGGTAAAAAGCATCCAGTCGTATTACCTCTCTACCAGCTCTGCGCCAACAATGTCATGAATGTGGTATTTCATATGGAATTTCACTTGTGAATTCGTCCGCCGCTCCTCGATTTCTGCCTTTAAGACTTCGCCGTATTTGGACTTCTTAACCATGCTGAGCACTGCTTTACGGCCTAACGGCAAAATGAGAACAAAGACATTAATGGGTGTCGTAACTAAAGGAAATCGCTGTTACGATTCAATCAAGTGAGATTCAACACCAACCTTTTATGAAGTACTTTGTGAATTTGCCAGAGTTGGGAATGGAAAGCCACCAGCTGCCTGCATCCCTCACAGTCAGGACCCCAGACTTAACCAGCTGCCTGTGTGTGGGGAGAAAACAGATTCTGAGTTGATCTTTATCTTTCAGAATGGCCAAGTCAGAGGTTACACATTCATTCAATAATGCCAAGCACAAAGTTATGGAAATCGGTATAAACAGCTTTAATGCCACAGAAAATGTTATTCTCTGCTACCCCTTTAAATAAATGTCAAACTCTTTCAGTCATTGTCAGCAGTGTTGCTTTGCTTTTTATTTATCTAGGAAGTTAAATGTTAAACTATGTCCAAGATACAAGGTTTGGGAATGATAAAGCTAAATAATAAACGCATGCAATATATGGGTGTCTTTCATACGTTATCTCAGAGTCTGTGAAGAGAAACTCCTTCAGCATTTTGTCTTTCGTGAAGCTCAGATCTGTGCAAGCGGACACCACTTTCTCCAAGAACCTCTCCACGGTGGCTCTTGTGGTTTTGCCCTCCTCTCCCGCCAGCACTTTGGCCTTGTAGTCAGAAGTAAAAACCAACCCAAAGGCTTCTGCGTCGAACCCGAGCTGGAACATCAGCAGATCTCCTCGTTCACGCATCTTATTCTGTTACCGATGACAGCAGCGAGTTGTATTTCACATCTGAATCTGTAGAAATGATTACACATACATTTCTAACACTTAAAATCCACCTTACCACCTCCTTGTCCACCAAAGTCTTGTCACTGTGTATGCTGTAGAGCTGGTGCTTCAGCACAATTTGAGGCAGTGCATCATTGAAGAGCTTTCTGGGAAATAGGGTCATGAGGTACTCCAGACTGGATTTAATGTCAGCTGGTCCTTTTAAAGTGAAGAAATGACAGTGTGAACTTCAAATGAAGAGTTTTTTGATCACGTTATTGTAGATTTTTTAGGAGTCACACCCACCATCTTCAGCAGCAGCTCCAAATTGTTCTGTGCCATTTCTTCTCTTCTTCAGATTGAAAGCGTCTGAAATCAGAGCCCGTTTCCTGCTCATACCTGAAGGAGAAATTTGCACCTGTTCACTCCAAGATGCTGCTTTTCTCGCTACACAACGCAGAGCCTATTAAAAGACCTTTAAATGGTCAATCATATCATTATTTCCTACTAATTAAGAATAATGCCCCACAGTCAAGATCCACTCCTTTGCCAATTTCTAATGAATGAATTATAAGACATAATCTCATATTTTCCATAAAGGTACGCTCAGAAAACAAGTTTTGTTAGGTTAAAAACACTACACCGTTAGCCATGCTAACGCTAGCTCGTTTATCAACATTAGACCGAGCTATTTGAACTCGAAAATAATTTTCGTTCTTACCTGATGAATAAACCCAATAATGTGTTTTTACATCACTTTATTCCCTGCCAGAGCCACAAACCAGCCCAACAGCTACAGGGAACTGCTGCAACTCTTCTTTTCACGGATATTTACAGTGTTTTTAGAGGAAGTGTCGCCGCTACCAACGAGCAGCAGATTGGATGGAAAACTGCACACGGAAGTGGCGTTAGCTTGTTGTTAGCGTGTGAGACTAGTTAGCTGTCCCGCTACAAAAACAAGGCAGCGTTGTTCTAACTCAGCTACTTCTTGGTTTTAGTCGGTAAAGATGCAACAAACGTATGTTTGTTGTTCCTGTGCCAAGTCTGTTATTTTATTTCCTCTGACATAATATAAACAGGGAACTTCTAACGTTAGCTTAGCAACCTCTGCTCGCTGTGCTGTAAAGAGGTAGGTTATCACTTACTTACGTCTTATTTATTCATGAAAGTACTCTTTAGTTTTCGTAGCGGGGTTAGTAACAGCGGTATTAGGAAACCTTTGTTAATTTTAAACATGCATTTAATTGAGAAACAGTGCAGACACACGCCAGACATTACCTGCCTCTTTTCCATTCAACATTCAACACATAAACTGTTATAAGCACATCAGGCGGTTCTAGGTCCAGACATGCTGCATTTAAACTTAAACTAATTCATTGTTTGTGCATAATTTGTTACAGAGAGGAAAGAACACATTTCTAATTTTAAATATGCAGCACTGTGCAAAAGTCGTCAGCCACCCCATCATGTCTTTATATTTTGGTAGGAAAATGTGGAACCGGTGCAGCGATTTATCAAAACATGTTCAAGCATACAAGAGTATAAAGTATATAAGGCAAAAACAACTTTGTACAGTTCTAACGATCTTGAAAGCCAATATTTGGTTTGACTACATTTATTCTTCAACGCAGCCTGAACTCTGTTAGCAAAGCTTTCCTGTCATTTCTTTAAGCAGTCTTCAGGAATAGTTTTCCAGGCTTCTTGAAGGACATCCAAAGCTCTTCTTTGGATGTTGGATGCAAACCGATTATAAGGACACAGCTTATAATCGGTTCTTTGCAAAGTTGCCTGTTATGTTGAGATACAACACTGGTTCATCCTTTGAGTTAGGTGGCATTTTTATGCTCGAATGATTCATATGCACATATGCATTAACCCTAACCTAACTTATCCCTGAAAAAATTGCACTTAAAGAACAAAAACTCATAAATTCTTTCTGTCCAGCTATGGACCCCCACAGATCCAGCATCAGCTGTCACAGCCATCAGTCCTCGTACAAAAGACAAAGAGACGACAGTGGCAGAAGTCCTCGTGAGAATAAACACTTCAGAACGAACACACAGCACCAGTATCGGTCTGAGTCGTCTCTGGGTCAAAACCCTTTGAGCTGCAGGACTTTAAGCACGAGAAGAGAGCTTTATGAAAGAGACTTTCCTGTTTACAAACAGCCTGTGGAAGTGGGATGTTTTTCCCTCGACTCTGAGCGTAGATTCTTCAACGACAGCAGGCAGATGAGGTACTACATGGAGCCTGACAGGAATCCAAATTTCAACCTGAGGGATGGATACAGGGATCGCTTTATAAAAAGAGACGACAGTGTGAAGGAGAGGCTGGACCATATTCTCCGGTGGATTGTAGCCAATAAATCAAAGATTAACCCAACAGGGGCAGCAGCCTCACCTCGGTAAGTGTAGCTGTCAGGTTCCTGTTTTTATTGTATTTCTCTTCAGGTGATCAAGTAGGTCCCACACAGAGAGAGAGAGATAAACATTATTGATCTCTAACCACAACAGTTCCTACTGGACATGTATTCTTTGATCAACCTCTACTCTTTCCAGCGCTTTAGATGTCGACTTTGTGACATGGCGGGGCCACCTAACTAAGCTGCTGACCACTCCTTATGAGACAAGGGAAGGCTGGTTGTTAGCAGTCACCAGGTTCAGGGGCACATTTTACATCAGTGAGGTGGAAACGGAAGCTGCTCGCAGGGAACGGGAGAACCGCACCGAGAGGCATGAAGAGATGATGTACTGGGGATACAAGTTTGAGCAATACACATGTGCAGGTAGGTGGGTTTATGTAGCAGTAAACAAGTACCTTATTTTTCCTTTTTTTTTTTTTTTTTTTTGGAAACTGGGTACTGATTAAAACTGCCTTACCCACAGCTGATGATTCACAGGCATACCTCATAATCAACTGGTTTTATATTCAGTCCATTTGTGCCTGGGAAGCACAACATGTGAGATTTCCACTATGGGGAAAAATGCTAATGGTATAATAAAAAACCCCAAACAAAAACAGTACTTTTGCCTCACAAAAAGAAGGTGCAGGTTTGATTTCACCGGCTGTTTTCGTGTGAGCTTTGCTGCCTGTGTGGGTTCTCTCCAGGCACGCTTGTTGGGTAATTGGTGTGGAGTCTGTTTCTGTGTTAATGCTGCAATAGACTGGCAGCCTGTCCAGGTTGTACCTCACCTTTTACCATTTCACACTTGGGTAACGGTTTCTGAAACTGCTAATTTACTGGGATTTTCCCACATAACCATCTCTAGGGTTTACAGAGACTGGTTTGAAAAGAGGAAACATCCAGTCAGTGGCAGTTCTCAGGGTGAAAATTCCTCATTGGTACCAAAGATCAAAGAGAGACTGCTTGGAACTGATAGGAAGGCAAGAGTAACTCAAACAACCACTTAGTACAATCGAGGTAATCAGAAGACCACACCAGGTGCAACTCCTGTCAGCTAAGAAAAGGAAACTGAAGCTATAATTCATCCAAGCTCAACAAAACTGGACAATAGAAGACTAGAAAAATGTTGCCTGGCTGATGATTCTTGGTTTGTGCTGCACTGGTAATGGCAGAATTGGGGATAAACAACAGGAAAACACAGATCCATGCTGCTTTGTGTCAGCAATCCAGGCTGCTGGGTCCCTTAGTACCAGTTGAGCATCATTTACATGACACAGCCTGAGTATTGTTGCTGATTATGTTCATCCATTTATGACCACAGTGCCTATCTTTTGATGGCCGCTTCCAGCAGCTGTCCTTTTAAAAAGTTATCTTCATGTCTTCATGTAATTGAAGAACTCGAGTAACAGCAAAGACTCGTAAATGCAGTATGATTGTTGATCTTACCATGATTAATTAAAATTACTACACTCTATAAAAATGTAATGTGATTATTATAATGCCCAACACTGACTTCAAATCATTATTTTTTCTGTACATATCCGTGCGTCCATTATATTAGATATGAAAACTAAACCTAGCACAGTGCTTTCAGTGGTAAAGTTTCACCTTTGTCTCTCCTGTAGACAATACCCACAGTCTACCTGACCCTGGTGGAGTGGTTAACACCAACGAGGCCTTCTGCACTGTGGTGCAGACTCGGCTCGCGGATCACAGACTGCTGTTCTCCGGCGAGGTGGACTGTCGAGATAAAGATCCCAAAGCTCCGGCTGCTCCTGCCTGTTACGTGGAGCTGAAGACCTCGGCAGAGATCTGCACCCCCAAACAGCGCAGCAACTTCCACAGGTACAGGATAAAGTAAAGCCTCATAATTTTCACGTTGTGTGGTTGGCTGGATGGTAACGCTTTTATTTTGGCGCTCCTCAGGTTCAAACTGCTTAAGTGGTGGGCCCAGTCTTTTCTCCCGGGAGTCCCTAGAGTGGTGGCAGGTTTCCGAGATCAGGAAGGTGTCGTTGTTTCCGTGGAGACCTTTCACATTTCTAAGATCTCCCATCTCATCAAGGTAAAGCAATAAATAACTCGTGATTTAAAAACATCTGGCAGCACACCATGAGCACACTTCATGAGCCTTCTGTACATCTTTTAAACAGAACGAGTACAACTGCTGGAAGCCGACAGTATGCATGAACTTTTGCTGCGATTTCCTGTCTTTTGTGAAGCGTGTAGTTACCGAAGACAGTCCTAGGTGAGCTATAATAACACTTAAAATATTCTGGTTTGGGGTAAATACATGTTAATCTCTTTCTGTTGTCATTTCAGAGTGGTGTACCTGTTCTCCTGGGATCCCTACAAAGATGTCACCTACTCTGCCCACAGAGACGCTCAGTATTGCTTCCTGCCACACTGGTATGTTGAGGAGATGACGAGAAGTGAAGACTCCCAATATGAGCCTAAAGCATAATTTATACTTCTGCACTGAAGTCTGAAAGCCTGGAGTTGATTCATTCCCTTCCAGTCAATTAGAAGAGGAGGAAACAGGCCAATCGCAGTTGTTTTGAGGAAGGGAGGTGCACGTCAGCATAGGTTATTGTGACGTAAGATTTAACCCTACGCATCGCTCTGATAAACTGAATTGCAGAAGTATAAATTCCACCTGAGGCATGGTCACGAATGCATCATTATCCTGTAGACCTCCAGTGGAGGACATTTAACGTGGTAAACATTTGCATGAGCTCACCAATCACTACTCATCAGTCTTCTGGGAGGGATTCTTTTATTTATTTATTTTTTTTAAAGCAGTGATGAACTACATTTTATCTGGCATGTAATGATCTAAACAAAACACAATTAAAGAAATCAATATTGTTTCTCAATCTTTTTTTTATTCCCTGGTTATAACAATAATTTAAAACCCACAAACAGTGTTATGTTTATTTAAACAAAATTAGAAAATCTGTTGTGTTTTGTTTGTTTTTTGTTGTTGTAAATGAGTCAAGATGATATCAAATAAGAACTGGATGTAAACAAAGTTCATTTTGTAAAATATAAAAAGCAAAATTGTAAAGCTTTAATCAAAAAAAAAAAAACCAAACAGTTGGAGCTGTTTTTCCTAACTGCTACTAAATATAAGTGACAACTGGCAGAGGAGCTGAAATCTGGTAAATGTGTCACTTGGCTAGAGTATTGATAGAACAACAAAAGGTCTAAAGGCTGCGGTGTTAAAGGGAAGCGCCTCTCTTGGTTATAACCAAGACGTAAAGAGAAAAACCAGTTTAACAACAGCAGCAGGAGGAGGAGTGGATCAACTGTCAACCGGCATCAAGTTGAAAGGCAACATTAACTGTCATTTACCACATCAGAGAGAGAGAAAGTACTGTGACAAATACTGTGAATCACTGCGATCCCCGACAAGTTTACACTACTCGCAGGGAACTGATAGACATAATGGAAGACATCTGTGTGAAAGAAAAAGAGCGCACGTCGAACACTGCGATATTGAAAACAGTAGAAAAAACTCAGTGCATCAAGTGTTTGTTTAGATCAACAGTCACTGAATAACTTACAAACGAGTGACAAAAAAAAAAAAGAAAGAATTAAACCATCGACAAGCATCAAAATGAAAAAGTGCCAAAACCTGCAGCTCTTTAGAGTGAGACTGGCTTCAAAAGAGTCAAAACCGTATAACCTTTGATGTTAAAATGCCCAGTTTTACAACAAAAATAAATGTGTTTGCAACCTGATACAGTTTCTTTTTGTCTTTATAACCTGTTAGCCCCAGTCATAACTCCACATGGTTGCTTTCTTATATAAACTTTACAAAAGCTCAAAAGTAAAAGGTGTGGCTACGCTGACTTACAGGTACATGCCAACACAGATGTCTGCTCAGCTTAACCAGTTTTTGTAGCATTGGTGTCTTTTGTTGTGTAATAATCTCACCAGTAGTAAACTATCAAAGAAGCTTGTGTTCCAGTCTTGCCACAGAGTCATCCATAAATAGTCACTTCTGGCTCATAAACCCTCCAAAACTTGATAACAACAACATTTTAGCAGCCAAAACCTTAAAATGCAGAGTACAAAGCTAATCAGTAGTTGATAGTGGATCCATCCACGTTTTATATTCAGTCTATGGGGGAAACAAACCTCTAATTCCTGCAGTGAGGAAATATTCTACTCTGACTGGTTTCATGAACACACAACAGTAAGAATCAGAAGCTACAGCTTTTGCAGTCACAAGATCACAAAACAAGCTAATTTGAGAGAAATTTGTGTGTAGGTGTTAGTTGGTGTACTCCACCACCAGCAACATAATGAGGGTGTGTCTTTTGGAAGAATACTGTTTATCTTTTGTAGGTCCAAAGACTTGAAGAATACATGCTGAGGTGCACTGATGCTGTGGACGCACAACTAATATTTTAGCTTGTTTTTTTCTTTAATTTGTCACTCGTCTGCACGTCACTTTTTCATAATGCATTACAATCAGAGGCACTTGCTACCTACAACTACTGCAGCATGTGCAGACACATATTCACTGTGCTTTTCCCTCAATTTATATTAAATTAATTTAATGAGGTTTCCATCTTGCAGGATTTCACAACTGGATAAATTCACAGTTAAAAGCTTACGTGTATGTAAAGAATGGCCCAGTGGTTTAGATTAAGGCAGCAGTAAACTTATCATCACGTGCAATAAAGCTCAAATGTTAAGACAAAAGTCTTAAATTGAAATACACTTTTTCAAATTCATATGAAAATGTAAATGTAAAGACAAATATCATTCATCTCCTATAGTGAAATATGAAACTACAGCAGACTCATGACAAAAACTCGGACCAGGGGAAAGCAGCTAGTCTGGCCCATTGATTTGAACCAGTAATTTCTTAAAGAGCATGTATATTTCCACGAGAGCTGTATCAGTCTTTCAGTGCAGCCAACATCTCTCAGAAAGAGGCCAAACAGGTGTATTTGTGTTCTTTTGCCTAAACTGTTTTTTTTTTTGTTTTTTTAAATCATCACCCGACAGAGTTTTATTTTTTAACAGTAGAAAGTTCAGCTCTTTGAAAGGTGTTCTTTTCAAACAGTTACTCAATACAGGACCTGTTTAACTCGCCTCACACTAGAAGATATTATACAGCAAACCAAACTAATAAATAATGTCTGTATGTCTTTCTTTGTCACATAAACTCAGTTAACTTTAGTCCCTGCAGGACCATGCTTAACCAAGAGAAATGCACCAGTGGAGAGGATGTGTATGCACAGATGTTCACAGTTAGAGGTTAACAATAGCAATAATTAAACCCCCCTCTGGTTTTGTTATATAATTTGGGAATGGAATAGGAATGTGGGGCTCCCAAAGCACCATTGTGGGCTCATATTATCGTGCCTATGCGACAGAAACAATTCATAATGTTATTAATAGCATCCGCAGGCTTTAAAACCTACTGAGGATGAGTGCACTGATGGTTTGCTGTGTTCAGGTAGCCGTCTTCAGTGCTTCAGTTTCTTGTTCATCCCCATGATTCTGAAGGTCACTGCAGCGATCTTCTCATACACAACAAACATGAGTGCAGCCGTCAGTACCGTCTGTAGCAGCTTGGCCTCCAGGCCTTTGTACAAACCGAGAGCACCGTGCTTCCTGCGATAAACACGGGTATACAACTGTGACCACTGCTACATATTCACACATGTGCTTGTTGTGAGTCGAGTGACTAGATAGTGTAATTTTAGAGATGCTGCACTCACTTGATCCGGTCCATGAGCAGGAACAAAATGTTAGAAAGGCTCCCCATCACACCACCACCCTCGGCGTCACTTTTATACTGGCCAAACTGATGAAAAAGCATAAAACAAGTGATGCATGTGTAGTAAAGATTCAATATCATTTACCAGTCATGCATATTTGCATCGAGTGTTTGATGGTATTAACCATATAAAGATGCTCTGGTTTCTCTAAATTTTTCTATTAATACACTCTCACCGGCCACTTTGTTTAAACCAGTTCATCTGCTGATCAATAGAAATATCTAATCATCCAATCACATTGCAGCAACTCAGCTAATTTAGTGATATAGTGAAGTTGCTGCTGAGCATCAGAATGGGAAAGAAATGTGATATAAGTGAATGTAGCATGGTTTTTGGTAGCAGGCGTTCTTATCTACTGGGACCGGATCAGAAATTTTTTTCCCCTAATAAAGTTTCTGAGGAGTGTACACAAAATTAAGTCAAATTTACACAATGTTGTGTCCCAGACTCAGCCAGGAGTTCCACTTTAGTTTTTAGTTTTTGAGGAAACATCATTTTGCCCGTGTAAGAGTGTAATAGACGGCTTTTGGCACACATAAAATTACACAGATACAATTTGTAGTTGTTTGTGTCTGTTTACTGAATTTTCTGTCATTGCAAAATGTTGAACTTCATCAGCCTAATCTTTGAAAAACAGAATACAGGAATAACATTTTCTGTATTAGAGTATTTACCCTCAGTATGGCCTGAACTGTCTGCAGAGGATACGTGGCAGTGGTAGCGATGGCCTTGGCAATGGCTCCAATGAGAAAAATCTTTGCTGAGGATATCTGTGGTAAAAGACGAAAGTTCACAGGTCAGGTGACTGATCGCTAGATTGGTCTAAACAGGGTCCCTCCTGATCACAGCCCTTCAGCTATGGAACGACAGGATGCTGACTGATTAGCTTCAATAAGGCAATTTTGCATACATCACTGGTTCTCTTTAAGTCTTCTTACCTTCCTCCCTCCTCTGCCTGCCTTCCTCTTCATGGCCTCATAAATCATGAACTGCACAGCAGGGTTGAGTACGAGGACGAGAGAGGGCAAAGTGCCGTTCCACAGAGTTCCCACCCCCTCGTTGGCTATGATCTGTGAGAAAGCATCTGAAAGAGAAGCAGTGAAGTTTGACAATCACACAGACACAAGACAAGCACGTCAGAAATCTTCACCTGTTTAACAGATATGAAGCGCTCACCAAATATGCCTCTGTAGTGAGTCTGGTGGAGGTCTTCGTTTCTGAACTTTACCCCCTGCATCTTCAGTCGAGTGTTGACCACCCACATGGGAGTGGTCAGGATCACATTCACCACTCCTACATGAACAAGAGATATTCAAGTTTCTTGAATCCACAAACCAGAGGATAATATCACCATCTTTTGCATACAGTCTATGGGATACATGCATGCAAACGTTTCACACACAAATCCAGGATTCATCCATTCAATCCAGACATCTGTCACACAGTCACTCCCTCCACTTTTGAAAAGTTTGCCTTTTGTGCTACAGGCTTCTCTTTTAATTGGACACCTTGCATCCATTTAAGTCTTTCAGACAATTTCCATCAGGTCAGTACTTACCTGACACAATTCCAATGAGCAAGTCTTTCCCAGGTCTGGACTGGCCTGGACCAGATGCCACCAGCTTCTTCAGCGAGTTAAACGTGTAGAAGTAGACAAAATTGGAGCAGCAAAGGCTGGAGATAACTGGGAACCAGCCTCTGTACAGTGACAGACTGGGAGAGGTAGTGATTAGGCATTTGAGTACTGTGTTTCCAGTCATGTGGCCAAAACATCATCCTAAACCATGGATTAGATTACAGCTGCAGCTACCAATTATTTTCATTAACCGTTTATATCTGCGATTACCTTGTTTTGGTTCATAACATTTGGTTAAATTATAAATATGGTCAAATAAGAGTAAAACAAGGCTTAACTTGTGTAATTTCTAACCAGAAGCCTCAGTGATTTTAAATTCCCAAACTATACGTACAAGCCTTCTTCCTTTGCTATCTCAGCCAGAATGACTGGAGTTGAGTTCGACTTTCTCTTCTCATCCACTGAAAAACAAACACAAATATGCCAGAAATCAGGCAATGAGTCTCTGGACAATGACTTGACACACAAAGATCAGCTTAACTGCATTATCTCAGCTTGTGGAAAAGAGTGGAAGCAGAAAGGCATAACACACCTTTTTATGTCTTATATAGAGCTGAACATGAGCGTGCTTTGCAATAAAAAAAAAGACACATGAAACAACAAACAGAAATGGATTGTTTATGAGGTAAAATAAAAACTACATTTATCAGTGCGCTACTCTTTGGGATGCAGTTACGGTTGCTCTATAATGACCCCAGCGTTAAACCTCTTTCAACTCTGCAGCTTATCAGGTGACCTCTGTCCAAGATGATAAAGCCCCCCAGCTCACCCTGGAGTCTGCTTTTGGCCGTGTCCAGAGGAAAGAAGACGGTCATAGCTGTCACACTCCCCTAAAAAGACAATGCACTGCAACATTAACATCCATACTGACACCTGAAAACACAACATCTAACACCATTGTTCAGCTTAAAGTGGTTTCTTCAACACCATGCTATCTGCTATTAGAAGGATAATACCCCAACCCCCATAAAAAACAAATAAATAAGAAACAAAGCTACTCACCATTGCACCTGCCACAGCATGAACCAGCGTCTCATAGGATAGGAGGCCGACAGCCGAGCCACCGTTGTCGGACATCTCTGCAGGCTCTCCCCGGTCCAACCACACAAGCTAAACACCGGGAAGTAACTGCCGTGAACCCAATGGAAGATGTCCGGGTTTTCCGAACAGTGGAAACGTTTTAAACAATAATTATTCACAACTTCATGTTATAGGAAGCTGAAAAGCGACAAGAAACAGAAACCAAAGAAGAGAGTGAAAAACTGTCAGATTGGGTTCACTCTCTTCTGGTCGGGGGATAGTTCCTCCCAAGATGCCGCTGATTGGACAGGTTCTTCTTCTTCTTTTGTTGACTCTTCTGTCGGTTCTGTTTCTTCTTCTTCTGTTTTTGGTAAACCATTAACTTTAGCATAGAATTTATTAGCCACCTACTGGACTGGAAGGAGAAGTGGTGGAAAAACATTTTACAGCCCTTATTTGCGGCAGTTCACCACAGCATGTGTGATTTTCCAGATTTTTTCTGACACACCCCCAAAGGGACAGACTTAGATATCATAATCATCTAGATATGACAACACACGGTCTAAGAGACTTACACTAATGCTTTTTTAGTACACTTATGTAAAATACACATACTCAAATGCTGGACTGTATCTGGGCTTATACACTTCTGTTTCATGTTACTTCACATCAACAGTTTCTCCAATTCATTTCATGGAGAAATTTCTCTTTTTAACGCTAAGCTCTAAGGATGAGCTCCCATGATGAATATAATATCTTGTAAAAAGAAAACTATCCTGCAATATTATTTTGAACCTAAACAAATAGCAAAATTAGAACATGTGACTAATCAGCCGTTTTTTAAAAAGTAAAGAAAACAATTGAATTGCATGTATAAAAAAAATGAACGTGTACCTTGACTAAATATATTCATCTTGCTAAAACAGTTTACAAACAAAACAATAAATGAATTTATCAAGAAAATAGATTAACACATGATTTAAATAATCACAAGCTGTTTGCAATAATTAATAATAAAAAATACTTTATTTTTCCTGTTTTTTATTACATTTGATACTTTAAGTATAGTGTGTTATTTTTACTTTTGCTGTAATTAATGACCCAATCAAGCATGTCTGTCAAGATTTTAACAATATCTAATTAGATTAGATGGATAAATAGATATATAAATAGAATAGAGCAATAATTTGTTAATAATAGCTTTACTCATGTATTATACTTAAGACAGTTTTTAGGTGTAAACGCTTTAAGTTAAAAAGTTGAATGTTCCCAGTTTTAAGTTGATTCAAGGTAACAGAGGGAGTTGATGTCGCTTTTTACTCTTTTAAATACTTTCTACAAATTACAGAATGAAAATGTATCATAAAAACATCAGCTTACAAATGTTGATGAAGAATTTAGAGTTCTAACAAGCTAAAACCAGAAACAAGAAATAACAGATAATGTTCCATTTTCATTTTACTGGTCATTCTAATCCACAACAATATATTATTCTTTCATAAAGATTGCTTTTGCCTTCAAACCTGTGAAGAAACAGTGATTACAGCAGAAACTCCTGCTGTGTGTGAATACGTTTTCTGGGTGAAATCGCAGTAAGGGATTTTTATAGTGTTGAGGAAATGGGGCAGCTCACAGCAGTGAAGCGAACTTTGCTTTTGTTTTATGGCCCCGAGCTGCTGGTGCGTTGACGCCCAGTCATCGCTTTGTTTGCTTGGGTCTGCAGTCGCTTCTGCTCATCTGACGTTAGCCGGGGGGGCGCAGAGAAACTTGGATTTTTATTTTTCTCCAAGCTTTTCCCTTCTTACCAGAGATGTCTAGGTACCACAAAGCAGCGATTGATGGATACGTGGAACTCTTGAAGGAGGCCACGGTGAAGGACCTGAACACGCCAGATGAGGATGGCATGACTCCCACCATACTGGCTGCTTTTCATGGACATATCAGTGCTCTTCAGCTCATATGCAGCAGAAAGTAAGCTTTCTATCGCCTGTCTTTCATCTCACATCTTACACTGAGACAAAAACGACCTGAACATATGAGTTCTCGTCAAGTGTTTTCTTCAGGCTGTGTAATTTTTCTGTCATTTCTAAAGAAAACATACAGTTAGACATAAAATCTTTACATTTAAATACATTATATTTTATAAAACCAAATAAGATTAAGATCTATAGTGGAACCAGGAACAGTGCTCACAGAGCAAAGGTTGACCAGCATGAAATAAAGTGTGTTTTATGCTTTCTCATACGTACTTTAATTGTTTTTGGCACTTCATCTGGATTTTTTCAACAGCTATTGTTCACTCCATTTTAATGAGCTAAGACTTTATTTCCCATTAGCTGAGCCAAAAATTTAACCAGCCCAATCCATCCCACAAAAACAAAAGAGCTGTTCATCCAGGCCGTGCCACCACCGCCACCGCCACCGCTACTCCACATGTACCTCCGTCCCTCTTTCACTACAACCAAGACCGTACAAAATCTGGCACAGTGCTCTTACAGACTTTTGAGATTCAGAGAATGCATAAGATTTATTTAATTTTATTTATATTTCAATGAGCATAAAGCGTGTCTTGTCTACGTGGCCAGGATTATCTAAACCATTTCCTCTTTGGTCATTACGCAGCATGAACTGGGATTTATGACAAGGTGTAGCAGTCACACAGCAATCAAAACTTGACAGGGGGCAGCAGTAAAAGGACTTTAAGTCTTAATAGCTCACCAGTTAACTTCACCCATCTTTAATTTGTCATGTGCTAGATTTGGATGTGGATCTATTCTCTGTTTTAATTTAATTTCCTGGACTGACATTTTTTTAAATGTCATTTTTTATCAGTTTATTATTTTCTCTAAATTCATGAAAAACTACTATGCATGGAGTTTGGTATAAATCAGGAATACAGAATAGCCAAATAATGAAAATATCATCACTAATGATAAAAAATCTTTTGTGTGTGTTCGTGTTGTACAGAGGAGATCCCAACAGGAGTGACATCTGGGGAAACACACCCCTGCACCATGCAGCAGGTAACGGCCACATGCACATCCTCAGCTTCCTGGTCAACTTCGGCGCCAACCTTTTTGCTCTGGACAATGAATTCCACACGCCAATGGATGTCGCCGCTTCACGCGACCACATGGAGTGTGTGCGCTTCCTTGACGCTGCTGCTGCAAAGCAGACCAACCAAAATCCGAAAAAGGTCGCCAATCTGAAGAAAGAGGCAGAAAAAGAGGCAGAGAAACGCGTGAAACTGTGTGAGAAGGTGAAGAAAAAACACAAGAGCAAAATGGATAGAATGCAGCGTGGAAGCAACTCCGGCTCCTTTTCAGATGCAGGAACGGCATCGTCACTGTCAAACGATGGCACCATCACGGGCGTCAACGAACACTTCTCCAAGCTCATCACTGACGATAAAGTTGGCTCTATTAAAGGCACACTCCTGAAGAAGTTTGGGAAGAAGGACAAAGGCACGCTGCAGAGGTCAGAAGGAAGTGGGAACGTTATCTTCCTCAAACCAGAGAGCGGATCTGAGAACCCAGACTTTGTGGACGTCTTCAACGAGCAGGAAGAGAACATGCTAGAAGAAATGGACAGCTTCGGAGATGACGACGACGATGGAGGCCAAGTGAAACAATCCATCTTCAATCGGCCCGGCCTTGGAGGTCTGATGTTCAGGAAGAAGATGGGGCTAGACTCTGACGACATCCCCAGCAGTGCCAATGAAAGCCTTGGTTACCTCGTTCAAAGCGAGACGTTTGAGGCAGACGAAGACACCTCTGGCTTGATGACGGGTGACAACGCACTGCCGTGGGAACAGGAAGATCTGGGACTGGATGATGATGAAGATGAGGAAACCTCTCCTTTGGATGTGTTCCTGTCCTCTATCTCCTTGCCAGATTTTACGCCCGCATTCAACAGAGAGCACCTTGACTTGGAGGCACTCATGCTTTGCTCTGATGAAGACCTCAAAGGGATCCGCATCCAGCTCGGACCCAGGAAGAAGATCTTAGAAGCTGTTGCTCGCAGAAGAAAGGCGCTGGAAAATGCAGCCGTCATGAAGGACAGCTCCTTGTGATCTGAAACAAAAACAGTTATTTATCCTCCAAATTTAAAATAAGCCTTTTGTCAGTTCAATTTCTGTATAAAACAAACATGATTCAGCAAACTAGTGAAAAATTCCAACATTTCTACAGATTGAACTTTATTGATCATATTATGACAATATGTTCCGTGTATACCTGTTATATCAAGTTAAAAGTGGCATGGCAGCATCAACCAACAATATCAACAATATCTTATACATCTGGTTTTAAAACAAGAGAAGAAAAGAAAAGAATAATTATGGGAAGAAAAATAAAGAATAATAAATAATAAAGTGTTGGTATTGACCTGCTGGCTGACTTTCTCCACATATGAGGTGATATGGCACACAGATGATTTGCTTGTGCAGCTGAATGTTTTATTGTAATGATGTCGACCTCAGATAACACACCTGTTAAATAAACAAAACGTACATGCACGATAGTCTCTCTAGTTTATTATTTCCCAATGGGTTTTAAAATTTCCCTGACAACAACAGTTGCTACGAACACAACAAAAAAGAGAGGAAAACAAGCAGGAGCCACTAAATGACTCACAGCAAATACAAGCAGGCAGGCTAAAACTGGTGAACTAGTAAACACAATGGAGTGACCTGAATAGAATAGAATAGAATAGAATAGAATAGAATAGAATAGAATAGAATAGAATAGAATAGAATAGTCCTTTAATTGTCCCACAAGGGGAAATTTGGTTGTAACAGCAACACACACATACACAAAAACAAAAAAACAACAACAAAAAAACAAACAGAACAGGACACAGGACATTGAACAGAAACACAAACATTTTTTTACATATTTACATCATGGATAATAGTTACCAAAACAGAGTACTGTACAGTTATTAAAGTACAGATAAGTGGCAAACCCAGGTTGTAGTGTGCAAACAGAGCAGGATACTGCAAGATGTTTAAATAGTTAAGAATATTTAGAATAATTAGAAAAGTACAGATTGTGTATTGTACCTGTGCATTAAAAAGTAGACATGTAACTTACAATAAGTTAGTATATAAATTGAGAAAAAGTAATGTGCAAGTTATAAAAGTAGTATTTGTTCGGTTGATTGGTGCAAGTTACAGCGCTGATGTAAACATCTATGTTTGTTGAGAGCAGTTTTGATTGTACAGTCTGACAGCTGGAGGGAGGAAGGACCTCTGGAAACGCTCCTTCTTGCATCTAAGATGCAGCAGTCTGCCACTGCTCACCAGTGAGTGTATA